CAATGGAATTGAATTGCAGACAGAGATAGAGACGAGAATTGAGTCAAGCGCGTGAATCTTTCCTTCTTTGTGAATTATAGCGTTTGTTGAAGTTATTGCGTGTCTGGGGAAAGTAAGTGTATTGCAAAGTTGAAGTGAGAAAGAATAAACTAGTTTTATTTAAGAAAGGACTTGTATCACTGAAGTTCTTTGGAAAGAATTTCTACGGAAAATTAACCAAAGACTAGAGACTTAACAAATTGGTGTCAGAGAGTGGGGGAAAAAAAATAGAAACGAGAAGTGGCAAATCAAACTACAGCTTAGCAGATTTGATGGCAGCAATACAAGAGCAGCAAAAGAAACAAGAAGAGAGATTACACCAGTTGTTGGAGGAAAAGAAAAGAAACAAGAAGAGAAATTACAGCAGTGGTTGGTGGAAAAAGAAAAGAAACAAAAAGAACGAGAAAATACACAAGAACAGAGACTACATCAGAGGTTAAATGAGAAAGAAAATAAACAAGAAGAGAAATTACAGCATTGGTTAGAGGAAAAAGAAAAGAAACAACAAGAATTAGAAAATAAACAAGTAGAGAGACTACAGCAGTGGTTGGAGGAGAAAGAAAATACACAAGAAGAAAGTCTCCAACAGTTGAGAGAAAGCCAGAGTACACAAATGGAAAACATTAGTAAATTTAAAAGTGAATTAGATACATTAAAGGATAATTTATTGTCTTTAACACAACGAGGATACATTAACCATCGACTTAATCAGCCCCCAGACAATGGCAAGCCCCTTCCAGACCCCACAGCTAAACCCTAATGCAGACATCTTCAGTCCTGTTAGGAGTCACATCCCAGATATGAGTGTCAGTAATAGAAGTGATCAAGTACGAAGGAAGCCACAGGGATGCGATGGGAAGGCACCGTGGGAAGCATATAGAGCACAATTTGAGCTACTGGCAGAAATTAATGGATGGACAGAGGAGCAGAAAGCTGTATATCTGGCAATGAGCTTGAAGGGACAACCACTGGAAATACTTGGACAGTTGTCAGCAGACGACAGACACAACTATAGAGCACTGGTAGCGGCTCCAGAACTTAGGTACAGAACCCAACATCAGTCTGAAGTCTACAGGGCTAGGTTTAGGACGAGAGTCCGTGCTAAAGGGGAGAGACTGCAAGAGCTGGCACAGGACTTGGAAAGTATGGCACACAAGGCTTACCCAACTGCACCCTTTTGATCTCCTCAAGTTGTTGCTGAGGGATCAGTTTGTAGATGCCTTGAACAGTCCACAACTGAAGATACAAGCACTATGCAGGATGCAATGGCCAGAGCTCTTGAATTTGAATCCTACATTGTGTCCAGCACAGAGGTACCAAGGTTGGTACAGTCGTCAGGATTCAAAGCCAGAAAAGGTCAGCTTTCAGAGAAGTTTGAGGGACTTTGCGGGCGCTGTAATGAACCTGGGCACAAGAGAGCTCAATGGTGGCAACTTCAACACAGAGGAGATGATACAGCAGGAAAGACTGCTACCCAGAAAGGCTGTTGGAACTGTGGGGAGCAAGGACATTTGAGGAGCCAGTGTAAGATGAATATTGCCAATAAGTCAGCCTCAAGGAAACCAGTTGTGGTTCGTGTTGATGGACGCCTA